AGTTGTTTTCTTAACTGTCACAATGTGGCTGTCTGGGGTTTTACATGTACATTTGCATGTCGGTTGTTGCTTACATCTGTAGACCATTCTGCCAGGACTTGGCAATTTCTCATGTGGGTGGCTGCCCTGGGAACAGATGTTTTTGATGCCACTTGTAGGGGGAAAGCTTTGAAAGTGACTCCATAAAAGACATGCCAGCTGCATGACAAACCAGGGCTGCCTATTTCTCAGGAACTCTGTCGGAGCCATATCTCTCTGAGCTCTGGAAACATGGCCTGTGGAGAATAAGAAGAGTTTTCACTTAATCAGACTGTTCCCTTTGGAGAACTTCATTAATTACAGGAGGAAGTTGTTGCACTGGAACATATGTTCCAGATGGCCACGGACTTCACTTGGAGAAAAAGTGCCTTTTCTTGTTATAATTTTGGTATCTAGAACTTAGTCAGATTTTCCCTTCTCAGACTTCATCTGATTCTCACTAGCCACACCTACAGGATATCACCAGGTTGATACATTTATGAATGTAACTGTTGTCAGACTGCTTGCTTGTTTGTGGTATTGCTTTCCACTTCTCTATCTATGTGGTGCAGGCATCTGGCAACCTGCATGGTCATCGAAAATCACTGGCAACCTTGCCCTTTCTGCTGTTAACAATATGGTTTCAAGTGTCAACTTCTCCTTTGCTTCCTTACTGCCTGCTCCCTCTGCACACATCCGTAGAGCAGCACTCCTGATCTGGCTCTCAGTGCACCCTGTCCTGCCAAACTTCCAATGAAAAGCAGCTCTCTGGCCAGTGATTATTATTCACGTGCTAATTTTAGCCCCTGCAATTGTCAAAAACCCTTATTATGTGCCCAGTGGATGAAGCACGTCATCGTTATGTGCTGAACCGGAACTCTTGGTGTCTGCCAACTTTTGCCAAAGTATTGTTTGAAGGTTGTGGAAGTAATGCTGGTACTCTGCCCCAGGGGTTTCTTACAGATGTTCCTAGGTAATGAAAGAGCATGTGCAAAACTGCAAAATATTAACAAGACTTGGATGAGCAGTTAATTACTGAAGACATCCTCAGTGTGTGAGTGTTGTTCAAAAATGAATACATGAGTTTGCTCTGCAGTGTGATTACAGCAGCAGAAATTAAGTTTCCTTTATCTGGGATGGATCGAGATAAAGTTGTTCACATCAATGACGGAATGTTTTCAAAAGCACTGTGTTTTGAAACTCTGGTTTCCAAGCTTTTAGGTATGCAACCCCTTGAAATGATGCAGTATCCAGTGTCACCACTTGTGTCTGGCCATGGGCTAGTGAACATGATAGAGTTGTTTCCTTGTTTATTTGAATATAAGGGAACTTATAAGCACACGCTTTCCTGCTTTCTTATTCTGTTAATTATCTTGTGACCCCTCAGATTTATCTTGCGACCGCTTGGTGGGTCCTGACCATCTTGGTTCACCTTTGTATCGACTAATGACTTTGTCCACATGTTTTATGATGTTGCTTTGTGTGCTTGAAACTCTGCAACCCTGTCTTCACCAGATCAGCACTCATCTGTGCGCTCTCTGCTCCTCTTCTTTCCCTCCCTCAAATTTCCGTCTTTGTTCTGGGAATGTCTGCTGTCACTCACGGCTGTCATATGCAAAAAGTTGCCTAGCAACACCATAGAGGGATGCAAAGTCAGTGTTTACTTTCCGCCCCCTCACCTCATGTGCCCACTACCCCCTTCTCTTTCACTCTCTTCCTCTGTCGTAGAGATGGGGTGGCATGGGAGGCTAGTGGAGGCAGCTCAGCCTCCTGCTCTCTGATGAATTCAGACAACAGATACAGAACAAACTGAGAGGAGGAGAAGAGGGGGCGGATAGGGGAGTGACATTCGGAGATTCTCTGTGTGCCTGTTGCCTGCCAGCTGATATTCCTCTCTTACTCTCTGCAGGAGGAACAGGCCATTTCCCCAAACAGCTCCACTCCCACTCTGCATAACTAAGGAGAAACTCTTACCACAGCATGCAGTTATCAGCGGGACTAAAAATACTGGACAGCAAATGTATCACATGCCTGGCTATCGTCACACTCATGAAAGAGAGCTCAATCTAAGCGGATACAGGTGCCTTTCATTCTCAGTGGATTATTAAATGTCCCCTGGTGGAAGCAATCAGGCAAAAGCCCTTGTTCCCTGCCAAAATGTGCTGTTTTAACTCATTTAGTACTGTGATTGTAAAGCAAGCCTCAATGGCTTCCACACTACCATGCTGAGTTTGGTTGTCTTTCAGGTTGATGGTAGAATTACAAGAGTCACCCTCAAGGTTGTTTTCCAGAAAGAATAGGCTCCGCTACAGATATAATATAAGAGGTTGTGGTTTAACACCCAACTAGAATCTCCACAACAGTGTTGACTATACATGTATTTTGATCAGACCTTGCACACAGTTTTTGGGGAATATGCGAAATGCTCATATTCACTTGGCAGAGCGTTAGATGAAAAGATTGATACCTTTCCCCTTACTGTACAATAAATATGAAGCCACAGCCAGCAGCCAGCTTTGCTTAGTATAAAAATACACTATCAAACTCAAGTATAAACATAAACCTTTCTCTTATTCAAAAGTAGACATTTCTCAAATGTCTTGTCATGACAGAGAAATCACCAGAAACGTTTTGTCCTTTGTATCTGAATTCCTATGTGAATAACAACAGCAAATCATACTTTTAAGTGAATAAAAACAATCTTCTACCACTAAAAGTACAAGTAAAAGTGAGTTCTTTTTGTTATATGTTAGCGTGTTTAATCATACTGAGATTTCTTTTAAATAAGTCAAAACTCTGCACAGAACTTGAAAGATGACCTGTGGACAAGGTTTTTTTAGTGTTTGTGAATGTAGGTCGTTCTGCTTGTATATCTGTTTGTGTAATGACTACCCTCGGCATGTAAATTACCCATCAGACCCGGTCGTCCATGTGCAAATGAGCAGCGTTTGTGGGATTGTGTGTTTCTCCACAGGCCTTGCTGCACATATGTGTAGGCTGATGAATAGTTTGTCTGTTTGCTGGGATGCAGTGACAAGAACTCTTAAGTGTTACCTCCTGGGGCTTCCCACTCTTCAAATAAAACTCTTTCCTTCCCCTCAACTCAAATCAAAGCTGAGAACCTGCCTGCAGAGGCTACATCAAAGCAGACTGTGGCACAAAGACCTATACTTGCCATTCACTCGGCTTGATTAAAGTCTGTCATTTCCTGCTATTAACATGCTCCCACCTCCAACAAGAAACAGACAGAGTGAAGCAGTCATCAGGAAGTGGTTAGAATGACACTGTTTTCGTGTTTTTTACAATTAAGCTCTGTGAAACTCAATTATGTTGCACTATACAAGAGAAATATATCATCAAAACTCAATTACCTCACAGAGCTGTTCTTTATTTAGCTTTTATGGGTCCAAGGAGGGTTGACTCGGAAATAACTGGCTTCCCATAAACATACTCGCACACATTCATACCTAGTACTTGCAAAGCAAAGTGCAGTTTGTTTTAACATTGGCCATCGAGCAGCTCCTATGCAGTAGTTAAAAGTGCCTTGCTCAGAAGTGCCTCAGTGGTTGTTAAGAAGGGTTTTACTGGTCCCCGCACCCACATTTCACCTACTGGCTGACAGATTTTCAGTCATAAACCCTTTTAGTCACAAGACTAACTCCATGTTGTGACCAAGCTGACCTCCGACATCAACAAACACCTGATCGAACACTAAATGTCAGCTGACATTGCCTAATGGTGACCGCAAGGACAACAGCTTACAGCCAGCTGATCTGTGCTTGCATAAGAGGAAATAACTGTATGTGAAATCCACAAAAGTACACAGTGATAAGTTATTAATAAATCTTTGAAAAATGAACTGAGAATATGTCTGCTAAAGAAGTTTAAACTGTTTGATCACTCAGTGGCTGGCATCTGCTCTTCAGACTAGCAAGTTGTTGTTTTTAACAATTTTATATGGGTTCTCCTGTTTTTTCTTGTTCTTTTTTTTTTGTGTTTGCTTTTGCCAAAGCAAAGCAAACCTTTATAGTGCCATTTGCTACTTTTCAATAGTCCACTTGACTTTTCTCCGCCAAGCAGGTGCAGAAAGTACATGAATGTTAGCGGTCGGCTTGCTGTCAGCTGTAGTCTTTGATGCAGTGCCTCACATCTTCTGATAAAAGCTGCACTCGGACACACTGCAGTCAGTCTGCATTGGTGCTAGTTCTTTGGCTTGGTGTGTGGAGGCCCTTAAACCCACAGCTGTTTGCAGTGAAGCATTGAAGAGTAGTGCCCTGCAGAAATGAACCTCCTTTTTTCCTACATTTTCCCCCCTTGCTCTTCGGTTCATCACAGCCTTTCCCCTCCCTACATCCCTCCTGTCTGCTGCTCTGGCCTCTGCTGAAGGTATAAATATGCAGGCTCAGCATATGGCATGTGGCTAGAGGGATTATCAGTTTAAAAAGAAGGCAATTCCCCTCTCTGGCCGTGTCCTTCTCCACTTATCATAGTGCGTTTTAAGGTGGCCATACTGGCTCTGTTTGTCAGACAGACCTTTGTGCCAGGTTCATAGGACAGGGACGGATAAGTAGATTCCTCCATCTCCTGCTGCTCCAAATGTCGGCCATCGCAAGAAACTTTGAAGGTCACAGGCTTGACCTGGGCATCTTTTCCCGGGAACAATAGCTTCCCCCCGTTCTTTTTCTTTCTTGTTCTTCCTGTCAGCCAAGTTCTGAATGTCACGGTCCACCCCTTCCCCCCAACCACCAACACCAATACCCAGCAGTCTTTCTCCCCCCACCCAGCACAGCCACCTACTTTCTCTTACATATGCTAATGTTGCAGTCTCATTCATTCTGTTGGTTGCTCTGTCACAGGGGGAGGGAGCGGGTCGTGAGCATTAACGGGCAGCTGTATGCATTTTGCTAAATTGTCTCCCCAATGGCTGCCAGACTTGTCCTTATTTTACTCTCTACTTCTTTTTCTTCTATCTTTCTCCCCAGACTAGTTATTGGAGCAGAAGGAAGCGTTGCTATTGTTTATTTTAGAGGCTTTCTGCTGTGAAGTGTGGCGGCTTTCTCTCAACAAGTGGCTGATGGATTTAATGCACTTGGATATCATTTCCACAGTGAGCTCATTACCACAGTGGCTCACAGGGCTTTGTGTCCACTGCTCTTAGGATTTATGGCTCTGATGAAAAAGGACTCACTTAATCAGGTAAGCATGGCAAATCTTGATATCTAATGTTGGTTTGCATGTAATGACCTCAAAGGAAAAAGTGTAAAGGCTAGATAATGCATTTTGACCTCACTTACATTTATGTGTAGAATACACATTCTATAAAGTCTTATTTTTAGATGAAGGTATGTATGGTCTAGCCTGTGGTTTGTATCAAAGCAGGAATTTGTGAGTGTGCATCTCTGGCAGACGCTGCACAGAAGGTTCTTGCGAGGTGAATAAATGAGTGATTCATCTGTGTATCGGTGCTTACTCCTGTCCTCCCTGCAGTTATTTTGCACTTGCCTCCCCCGGTTGACTAAACCTTATTCTGTGTCAGCTGTAGAGCTTCCAGCTGCTGCCCAGAAGTCCAAATTGTCTCTCTTACACCAGATTAATGTCAGCAACACCTGGCCAAGTGTGAACAACTTTGAAAAGAAAATGAGTACAGCTGAAATGAGTAGAGGAGGGAGAGATGCTTAGTGGCATGGATGCGTTCTCAGGTCACTCTGCTGGTCAGCATTTCTACATGCTGCTCACTGAATGACTTGTGTGAATGTGTTCGTGCTTCAGTGGGTCGGTTCTCAACGGTATCGCACAGCTTACCTACTTCCCTCCTCTGCTGCCCTGTATCTCTGTGATAATGTGACAATGTGGACTCTGACTGACCTCAGCAGAGGAGCAGAAGCATGGATGTTCTCAGAGCTTTCCAATCTGAACTCCTCACAACTTTTTTAACAGCTTCCCTTTTACAAGATGAGAGCACTCTTCGCACCATTTCTCTCCTGCTCCTTGTTTTCTCTGTCTCCTTTCCCTGAAAGTGCACTCCACTGACAGGCCGCCATTGGTATGGAGGTAGCAGGGTAAGCAGCAGGCTGCTGGGAAGCAGCGGGGGGGGGTGCTCATGGATATATGTGCTGGTTTATTCTGGAGGCCTGCTGGGCCACATCAACCCTGCACGTCCCTTTCTGTCTCACCGTTGCAGTGAAGGCCGGCGTGGCTAGGCCAAGTTCGGGGGACAGATGGTCCCTTTTGGAGAAGGGCCACCACACAGCGCTCTCTGTTCGTGGGGCTTCGCTGGAGCAGCCAAGAACAAACACGGCCTCCTTCTGCTGGGAACATACAGGAGCTTCAGTCTGTGCGACCTCAATAGGGTCTGGGAGTGACATCTAAAACTATGCATGTGTATTTTGGGTGTGATACTAATGCTGGTTGTTACATAATGTTAACTGACATACAACTAAGTGCTTTTTGATAGCACTGCTAGTCTATTTGTAATAACCGTGTGTTCCATTAGTCATATTAGTCAGTCTTCATTAATTTTGTATCAGAAAAGGGGCTCTGTACGTTATCCTCTGCCAAGTTTATACCATCGCTTAAATCTTTCAAGTTAGTGCATTGTGTGTCTCTGTTGACCGCAGTGCTTGTTCTCTATTCTCATGTGTATAAACAAGGAAAATCTGTTGTCCTGTCTATTTTAATTCTCAGATCACCCTGAAACAACTAAAGGACAATGGCAGTGTGCTGCCTGGCAGGCGCTGGGCTGATAGCCAGCTGGCAGGGCAACGGGGTAGGAGACTCCCATTTTCAGTAGAGCCAGGAGGAGGGCTGCCTCTCTCCCGCACTACCTACAGCCAGCAATACCACTATTGTGCTGTTTTTATATGAAGCTCCATCCAACTCGAGAACAGGGGCTCTTTTCAAAACACAACTTTGCCGCATAGCTCAGCTCTACACCATGTCAATGTGATTACTTGAAGCTATCATCAGTGCTGTGACTGTGGTTAAGCTTCCACCTGACGGATTGCTGTTCTAATCTTGGCAAAGGTTGTCATTCCAGAGATACAGTGTTAAATTTATTTTATTAATGGCTGTTATCTTAATGCATTATCTGACGTTGGAATTTAGAAACAGCACAACTGATGCACAAGGTGTATTTTATGTTTGCTCTAGAAATACTGTTACAGGTGACTTGATGAATAAAGTATAAGCTAGACTGCAACCAACCGATAATAGTCTGGTCTCTAAAAACACTTTTAAGGACATCTGTTGTGGATATTTACTGAGCACACAGCATGTCAAAACACTACTTGGTGAAGAGGCATAAATGTTGTAGTTGAACCCTTTTTAAATTCATAGCATCAGAACATGCTATGGTGCTTCACCATACAAGATAAAAGTTATGTGTGCATTCATAATATGTGGATCAGTATACACATAATTAGATTTACTTTGACTCTCCCTTCTCCTCATTCCTTAGCTGCTATACAAAGTAATGGTGTTCGAAACCACTCTCTTCTGGCAGACCCCGTTTCTTTGTCTGTAACGGAGCATATGGTAGATATTATGAGATTTGAATGTGTGCAGGAAATGAAAAGAATTTACCGCAGTTTTTGTTGGGTAAATACTTACTGTTCCCTGAACCAAGAGAAATGAAGTCAGATCGTGGGTGACCCCTGTGCTTTAGACATTCCAGGTGGAGCTACTGCTACAGCACGAAGCAGAGCAGACTGAGGGGTGCACTGGTGTTGGAAAACAGACTCATGTCCATGTAAGCTGGCTCCATGATAAGACAACAGCTAGAAATAACCACCAGCCCATGCTACAAAGTCCACAGCAAAGCAAAGAGCTATCTTTTGTTTAATTTTACACGTCAGCGCACAACTGCTGACAGATGAGGTGCAGCGAGATGACTGTTGGAGGGCAGTGACATCGATTAAGCTCTGTAACCATAGGAGCAGATATAGATATCAGAACATAGCTATATCTCTGTGGCCGCTTTTTTTCCAGCTGTTGTCTGTCTTATCTGTGGAAAGCTGTTAAATTTTCAAGGGCTGTTATGGAAGTATTCAGGTCTTATTCTGGTATGAAGCAACTTCCTTTTTTGCAGAGATTTCTGCCTAGTCTGCTCAATACAGAAGTGAAACAGCTGAAAGGAGTTTTATATAGATCAAAATGTAGACGGAGTATAAATAGTCTCTTTTGAAGTAGCGCTCATGCCATAGACATCTGCCCTTGATCTGTGTACCTGGGGCTCTAACGGGGCATTAGTGAATGTGGGCATTTACCATAGTGCATTGTGAGACCCGACGCCGGGGGAATGATGAGACGGCAAGGGTATATGTTTACTTTGTGCTGTCTGACCTCATTTTTGATCTCTTCTACTGATTGTTCTTCTGCTGTTGGGTCAACTCGGGTCTGTGTGCGCTGAGATGTAAACAAAAAGCCTCTAATCGTATTCCGCTACTTCCGCTGTTCAGCTCCTTTCTCTTTACGAAAGCGCACAGTCATACTTATTGTACCAACACACCTCTCCTTTTGGAGTATTTTCTGTATTCACTTTCTCCTGTGTTGCTGTCATGCACATTATCGTGTAGGTATGAGCTTACCCAATGCCAGGTGAATTGGATCATGTCAGAATGGTCAGTGGTTGTGACAGGACACTATGCTTTCACTTTTGGCTAAAAAGATTTTAGCTTGAAGGGACAGAGTGCACATATGCAGAAGGAGATGAGATTGCTGATGAGTAGTAAAACATGGCGGGACTAAGGCTGATAGACTCAGACTGTATATAAAAAGGTGTAGGCCTACAGTTGTATCTTGTTGAAATGTTTTTACAAAGTCTCGTTCAAAGCATGTGATGAGTTGTTGTTGTTGTTTATATTATTTCCAAACTAAGTAAATTTCACATCAAGATGAATATTTCCGGGGCAACCTTGAATGAAATCCATCCTGTGAACGTGTTCCATGAATACACAAGGAACTAACTGTAGCTCAGCATTTACAGAAACTTGAAATTATCATGTCTGGCCCTGAATCATGGCCCAAATATAAAATACAGAATACGTCAAACATTTGAAACCCTTCTAATGCAAGTAATGAATTAAGTTACTTGGAGTGTTTATTGATTTTTGTGATACCTTCCCTTGTGATAACTAGAAGAATAGTTTTAATGAAAACTGTCCCTCATTTTGGTACACCATAAACGCACACAGCTGGCACACGTTCCCCCTCCTCATATGTACCCCTTCTATGTTTTTAGAAAAGAGTCATCCCTCCATTCTTGTCGACTTTTTGTTTATGTTGAGCAGTACCAGGACCGATTCTAAATCATCTTGTCCCTCCTGTAATATACGCTGTAACTTGCAGCTGGAGCTGGAGCTTGTGCATCCATTCATTTCAACTCTCACCATCAGGACTCACCATCAGGATTTGTGGCATTGTGTCTCTGCGACTTGCAAATTCCTCCCTTGCGCGTGGAGGGACAGACTTCCAGTTACACCCAGAGCTGTATTCAACAAGAGCCTTTGAGGACATGCCACATTTGATGTCAAATTAAGTTTACTGGACCTCATAATGATAGAAATACAGTGATGTGAAGGAGAGAGGGATATGGGGAGTAGTGGGATAATGGTGGATAGAGCATGGTCTGTTTGGTTAGTGACAGTCCTTTTATCCCGTCTAATGGATGATGCTGTCAAATTGCCACCCATCACTTGTGGAGTATTATTTTTTATTCTCTATAGCTTATTACTTATACAACTCCACTTAACCTAGATAAATCTTAGCATATGTGGTTGTTGAATTCCCATCCATGTGAATATTTTCAAAGGATAACTAGGCTGGATATGGTTTGATGTTAGTTTCTACATATCAGACTCGATAAGGCAGCCGGCTGGAACTCATTTCATTGGTTTCCTTACCTCCCACTGAGGGTGTGACCCTCCATTCACACTGGCCATTAAAATCTCAGCGTTACTCCCTGCAGCCAATATTGGCACATCGGGGTGTTCGGTTGGTGGTCTGACCACAATAAGAGAGGGTGGAGTTAGATGATTGGGTTTTTACCGGCTCAGATTTAGTGAGTTATTGCTGTGTACAGGAAGGGGTGAGTTTGGCCATCACTGGCAGGGCTATAGCATCTTTGTTAATTTGAGTGTCAGCTGGTGGGAGATTCTACCCTGTTGTGAGGTTGAATTGTGGGAGCAGCAGATGAAAGA